AGAAGGTTTTGTTTACAAATCCATGAAAATTTTAATACAATCGTAGAAATGAGTTTCAAGATTTGATCTATTTTAACATGGTTGGGCATTTTTTATATACATACAAACATATATATATATATATATATATATATATATATATATATATATATATATATATATATATATATATATATATATATATATATATATATATATATATATATATATATATATATATATTACCAGATAACTATGTATATATATATATATATATATATATATATATATATATATATATATATATATATATAGTTATCTAGAAATATATATATATATATATATATATATATATATATATATATATATATATATATATATATATATATATATATATATATATATATATATATATATTACCAGATAACTATGTATATATATATATATATATATATATATATATATATATATATATATATAGTTATCTAGAAATATATATATATATATATATATATATATATATATATATATATATATATATATATATATATATATATATATATATATATATATATATATATATAATATATATATATATATATATATATTAGCAGATAACTATGACGCCAAGCTGATTGGGCTTAGATTTTTTGATAGATAATCCTTAAGACACAAACAATTCGTTGGTATAAAAATCTAAACACGATCGGCTCGGCGTGGATATGGGCCAAAAGGTATCAAAGTAGGACATACTCCTTTTAAAACTATATACAATAATATAGAGATAAACTAGTTTGATTTTTACTTTCTTTCTAATTTTCAATAGTATTTCAAATAATTCGCGTATTCTTTGTTTCACACTAAAAAAAAAAAATATATATGAAGAAATTTAAAGTTACAAACAAATCCAATTATAAGCATTTTCAAGAGCAAAATAAAAAAACATTGAACAATGAATGAACAAATAGAAATACCAAAAATACCAGAAATTGGACTAACTTGCTATTTGATGCACGCATGAGTTTTTCTGCTTTTGAAAGATTTTCAAAAACATGAGTATTTTGAACCTTTGAAAAATGATATATCTTTGGTCCCTCTTTCAAAATACCAATAATTGACAGGCAATTTTAGAACAAACTGAGTGCATATAGTTCAAAACGAATCTAGAAATGTAAAGTATATCAATCAAAGAACTTTTAAATACTTCATATTCTTTATAACTCATCTATGCAAACTTTGTGTTTGCTAAGATGAGTTATAAAGATTATGAAGTATTTAAAAGTAAGAAAAAGTTGATTGAAAAAAACTACTTCTTTTTATACATTTAATATTTTGCTTGCGCTAAAGTATCACATGTAAAGTTTTTAACACTATCATATTTCAAAAAATATACTTTCCAAACAAAACCATACTCTGGCAGCATTTGGAATAAGAAACAGAGGTTTAGAAATAAATGAGGAAACTAAAAACTAAAGCTGCGTATTGCTAGACTTAAAAAAAGGCAGGTCATATACATTTACTATTAAATATTTGTCATTGTTTATACATATGTCATCATCATGGAGGATATTTTTAATACCAATAGATAGATGTCAAAACCAAGATAAAGATAGTCACAATATTTTAAGTATTAACTTGATTAGGTGTTTTTAGTAACATTTATTCCTATGCCCATGTTGACTAGCAAGACAAGCTTTCCTTTAAAGAAAAATGTGCAACTAAATGTTTAACTGGCCATTGAACAAAGTCAAGAATTAAATCAGGACAATTATTAGAGTGAAAAGGAATTAATAAAATTAGCACTTTTTTGATGAGATTTTAGTAAAAGATAACATAGAATCACTTTCAAAAATATCAAAACTATTGGAATTAGCCAAAAGAAAAACTCACGAACTAAACTCCAATAATTATCAACTGGTAATCAAAGAAATAGCCTTTCACTATATAGTTGACCTTGATGTCATCATACACTTATACTTGCTTATCTGTAAGCAGAAATATATAAACTTATATACATTTACAACAATTTATATAAACATATATATATATACATATATATATATATATATATATATATATATATATATATATATATATATATATATATATATATATATATATATATATATATATAATTTATAAATAAATACATTTACTTATAACAATTTCATTCATATCTTAATAATAATATATTTAATACTTTTGATATAGATTATTATGAATATATATATAAATACAGAAATTTTATAAAAATTTCAACAATTTTCAAAGTTTTAATAAGGCTTTTACAACTTTTAAGTAATGAACATTTATAATAAAAATACTTCAAATTACTCCTAAGAAATGATTTTTTATCTGTTGATATCATTTTTACACATTTGTATTATTTTATTATTGTGTTATATAAATATTCACATGCAATATGTATACTCATTTAATGTGATATTAAAATAAGAATTAACAAAATCTTTGCAGTTATTCATAATGCCTGTAATGTTTTGAATACAAATGTAACAAATAAAAATATAAATAAAGAAATATAATTTTTTTTTTTGAATTAAGTCCTTAATATATGCTTCGATAACTTTCCACCAACAAATGAAAGTTGACCTAAAAAAGAAAAAAAATATAAATTGTAATGTTTTTTACATTAGATCTTATTTTTATCTGTATTTTTTTTTACTACATTCACCAAGGTCGAGCCTTGAAAAACCTAAGCTTATTTAATAATAAGTTAGAATTGAATAGGTAGTTTTAATTGAATCAAGGCATCATCATAAACATAAAAATATTTTTATTTACTAAATTTTGCAACCAAAATAAAATATAAAACATTTGAATTATTCAATAACAATTTTGTTACGCTGTAACCAATCTAAAAATCTAAAACGTTTAAAAGTATTTATAGGCTGAATAAATAGGCTGACATAAGTTTTAACAGCAAATGAGTTACAGTCATTTTATCAAAATGATTTTTAGTCGAATTGTTTCGATTTCAAACAACTTTATAACTTTGTACTGGAACTTAGCGCAGTTTTTTATTTTTTTTTACATAGCGACCTTGTTCCTAAAGGTTCGGTTTTTGTAATTAGAGAGTTAAGAGAAAGTAAATGTACTAGATCACATTGTAAAATTATATCATATCATATGTTAAAAACTATATTATATAAAACTTTATCATATCATATATCAAAAACTATATCATACAAAAACTATATCATATCACATACAAAAATTATACAAAAATGTATTTTGACTTGTATTTTATTAAAATATTTTCGTGTTTTGAAGTGATAGAGTTGAGAGGAGGTTATAACTAGGGCTGTACCGGATTTAATTTTTTTAAATCCGGCCGGAGCCGGATTTGCCGGATTTCTACTGACAGATCCGGCCGGAATCGGAGCCGGAGCCGGATTTCAAAACAAAACTACAGGAGCCAAAATCTCTACTTGGTGTTGAGCATGGTCAACAATGTGGACTATTCAGAATACCAAGTGACTGCTGTTTTCTGTTAAACTTCATTGCTGTTATTTAAAAAGTTTTATAGCAATTTCTATATATAAAATAATAGAAATTCTAAAGAAATTCTATAGGCCATATGTTTTAAAAGTTTATAGTAATTCTATTGAATTTTTTTTCTGGGATTTGTCACTTCGCCACTGTAGTGGATCATTTGGTCTATTTATTTCTGGTTCTTTCGGATATTTCCTTAGCTGAGTTTCAATGCCTTTTAGTAATTGTTGTTTATGTGCCCTGCCACTAGCGGACGTAGACTGAATAATTTTATCAATAAATTGCCAGAGTAATGATGAAGATGATGTAGAAAAATTATTAAGCCCGGCTTATTTTGGTGGATTTTCTTCAGTTTTGTCAATCTTCTGTTCAGCATGCTCAGATTAACTTCTATTTTGATTTTTCAGCTATTAGTGTTGCCTGTAATGAGGAGAATTTAGTTTTAAATTGTGAGTCAATCAGCCTCGTCAGTATATAAAGAGGTTTCTCTTTTCAATGCTTTTAAAACGCACATCCAATCACTTGATTAGGGTTGACATCATAGTCTTTATACCTGCATCATTGTAGAATATCGTGTGTCTTCCCTTCAGAATTTTTTGTTGCGTTGTTGTTTGAAATAAGACTAAGCTTATTAAATTATAAAGAAATATAAATACAAATACCAAAACAAATATGAGGTTCATAAAATATAGAATTACAAAAAAAATTGATTTTTTAAATAAAATATTAGGTATACATGTAAACACGGGCAAAAAAAATGTAATAAATATTTGACAAAATTCAAAACTCCGGCTAAAATTATGCCGGATTTGCTAAATTTTTGCCGGAGCCGGATTTGGGCCGGATTTGTAAAAATGGCCGGATTTCGGCCGGAGCAGGAGCCGGAGCCGAAATCCGGTACAGCCCTAGTTATAACCACAATTTAAAAAAAAAATAACATCCTCGACTGTTGTAGCCTTCATGGCCTTGAAGAGGTGAAATAACATAAAAAAATTAAAAAGTTATTTTCAATTATAATTAGAGTTGTCAAAATTGGATCTTTATTTTATGTCTAAAAGTAGAGAAATATACCCTGACAGCAAGGATATAATGGCCCCGCGTAGGCTGCCGCGCTGGACCGGCTACGGCTGCCAATGTTGGCGAAGCTCCGTTTTGTTCTAAGGATTTTTCATGGACCAGCCATGGCTGGCAAAACAGCGGCTAGCCAGTGCAGGACAAAAATTGGTAGAACAACGAATAGCCATTATTATACCGTATCACCGTGATTTTGCATTTAATTAACTGGGTCGTGCATGGATTGTTATGGATTTTCATTGGGTAATCCTATTTGAAGTCCCTATAATTTCCTTTTAGACCCCGTCTTCCTCATTATTCTGTCTTAAGTAGAATCGATTGTAATTTTTTATTTAAAAAAAGGCGTATTTTTCATTAGTTTAAGGACAATAAAATGTATTAGACGCATGATTATTGACAATTTCAATTTTTATAAATAAATATGAAAAACAGGCTTAAATTTCAAAATATATTTACGCGACAAAAAACAATTATTATACAATGATTTGATTGATACCATTCGACAATGGTGCTTTTTCTACGATTAATATCCAATCGTCAAAATAATTCGTTATAAACTTCTGCTTCAATTTGTAACATTATTTTCTTTTTTAGTGCTCGCACCCATTTTAACTTTAACAAAATAATAACAAAAATAAGCACAACTTGATAATTTATTACATATATAATTATACAACATAGTTATTATGTTGTATAAGTATATATTTAATAACGATTATTTTTATTGTTGACAAAAAAGTTTAATCCATTAACACCAAACCATAGTTACATAGACTTGAGTTAAGGATCTTTTTATAACTTTGTGAATTGAAATGTTAATAAATATAACAATGAAAATATGTAATTACAACTAAGTGCAGGATACTTACAAATAGAACATGTGGTACTTGGATTATTATGAGCTAAAAGTCCACTCCCAGTATCACGTCTTGAGATTTGACATTTGATGATTAAATATTTAATTTACTTTACAGCAGCTTCTAAATAAAGTATTTAAAACGCTGTTTATGTATTATATTTATTATTTTATTGTAAAACTTAGTTTGAATAAATAAAAAGAACATAAATAAAAAAATAAAAATTAATTAAAAGGCGTCTCAATTTTTCTAAATACACATTATACACCAAAACTATTTTATAAAACACAGTAAATCTAGTCATTAGTAATAGTAAAAATAAGGAAAAAAACTTTTCCTTCACTTAAACACTGAAAACAGAAATATTAACTTATTTGATTAAGTGTAAACTTACCAGAATTAGATGAACCATTTAACTTGAGATTTGGTATTTTTGTGTCAACATTATATTTATTGCCATAGCTTCATTAATATTTGCTACATTTATGTGGTGGCACATTAATCATCACAAATAAAATCTGAACATGAAACAACAATACTATTAAATCTAATAATTAAAGTTATTTTATTTAAAATTTTTTCATATAAAATAACAAAATAAGAAAAGGCAAAAATTTATGGAATGAAGTTTTATTATCACAAAGAGTAAGGAATAAGCTACATACTAAAACAAAAATCAGCTCAATAGCATAATTATTAGCAATTCTTTATAATTTTTAATGAAAGCGTTTTAAAAATGAAGTTATAGAGATAAAATGACTTTAAAAGTTTGACATTAGGGTGAATCAAACAATTCTTTAAATATTTAGATAAAAGAAATATAACATTAATACTTATTTTAGTAATCACCATTATATAGTCCTTACCTTGAATATTAACCTCATTAAGGAGTTCACATATACAGAAACATGTTATTTTGATTGAAAAACTCCAATATTTCCACAGTAATTCCTGTTTATAATTTAAAAGACTTATGATGTAAAAATTCACATATAAACCTTTCTGTCCACATTAGAAATTAAAAGATCAAGAGGTGATGTGATACAACTATACAGGTTTATTAATGACTTGGATGTAATAAATTGGTATAATACTCCAACATTTATAGAAAATTCTATTACAAAAGCTAACAAATGAATTATATAAACAACAATCAAAAAAATCAAGCGGTCAACATAATTTTTTCATAAATAGAATAGTCATCACATGGAACCATTTATAACAAAAGGTTATGAAAGAGAAAAACTTAAATATATATTTTAAACACTACGATAAATATAGACAAAACTGTGAAAAGCTGTTAAGGTCTTAAAACTACTTTCGTTAGATTATATACTAATAATGTTTATTGCAACTTTGTTGATTTATTTATATCTATTTATTGTATTTATAAGTAAACAAACATATTTAGAAAAAATAATTAAAAAATAATTAAACTCCTAGAAAAAATGTATTTTTTCTAGGAGTTTAATTATATGTAATTTTATGTATAGTAATTTTTTATGTTATAGTAACTTTTTTAACGTATTAGGTATCATGGCCTACTTTAAGTCTATGGCCTAATATTCCACATTTTTGCTGAAAAAATAGAAGGCCATTAAAAGATTAAAAGGCTATAAAATAAAACGAAAAAAAAAACAAAAAAAAACAAACATTTTTACTCTTGCAACTACTGTTTGTTCAGCAAGAAATAAATTATTTTCTAACAGAAACTGCTTTTTTTTTTTCAATAGAAATAAATTTTTATTAAAAAAAAACTGACTTTGCTCAAAGAATGTAGTATTGTTTTTATATTTTGTTATTGCACATTAATAAAAATATCTTATGTTAAATTTATATTTGTATTAACTCTAAAAAAAGATAACTATAATATTCACACCATTTTTTGAATATTACTTTTCTTTTAATATCAAAAAATTTATTAAATGTTATTTATAAAATATATTACTGTAATATATTACTGGTTTGTTATAGATTTATTATAAGTATCAGATGCTCAGAATAAAGTAAGTTTTTATTAAGCAAAATAAATTCAAAACAAACTGAGCAGTTATTCAGAATGACAAATCAGTATTGATAATAACATTAAAAGTAAAATATAAAATTGAAAAAGATTTACAGACATAAATTGTCATTATATCGTTTATCTGTTAACGTTTGCTAAACCATTTTTAAACATTTTGCTATATAACCTGTTAAAAAAATTATTCATAATTGTTAGTTTATTTGATATCTCTATTCTTTAAATAAACTTTTAATTTTAGTAAATCATTCTGAGTACAAAATTTTAAGTAACCAAAAGTTAATGCCACTTATCTACTGATGCTGTCCCAACTTAATGACACAATTATAATCGTAACTCAAAAGATCTTGAATTAAAATTTAACTACTTTAACTGAGCAGACGGATATGTATTAGATTTTTATCCACAATGCCATAGCTAATTAAAGTTTAGGCTTTTGTGATTTTGTTTAAATTTTCCTGGATTCAACACTTTATTTGTAAGTTTTGAGGTTTTATATAAATCTGTTGTTAAAATAATTTCCTGTTTAACTGTAACATCATCTTTAAACTTAGTATACTCAAATGGCGGAAGTCTGGATAGTTTATCACATTTTAAAGTAAATCCACAACTCCATAAAATAAATTTTTTTAAAGTTCTGATAGCAATCTATTAAATCTTTAAAAATTACTTGCATGATTATTGCACATTAAGCTTGCACACAAAAGCACTGTTAAAAAAAATAGTCAAAGTTTCACAGGTTTCATTTCTTAATCAATCACTATAAATTTTTATAACTGAGTCAGTTTTTATAAATTTTTATAACTGAGTCAGTTTTTATTATGTACAGAATGATCTTATTATTTAATGAATGTTCTTAAAAATTTTCTATCGTATATCATTTTCAAAAGTCAGACCTGTTTCACCAGAGTACTCTGTATATTTTAAAAGAATTTTGAATGGTGATATAATGTATGCTTTATTTCTTAATTTTTTTTTTAAGTTCTTAAAAAACTATAACAAACCAAAAAAAAAGATTCTGCATGATTTTGTACGTAAGTAAGAAAGTGTTTAAACATGCATATGCAGGGCATTTTTATGACTATAAAAAAACACTGTGTAAAGATAATAAACAACTCCTGTAAAATATTTTTATATAAGCTCTCAGCAAGTTGTATAATAATCTCAATAACTTATGGTAAGCACACAATAACTTGTGGTATTAAATAACTCAATATGTGGTATTAAGTATCTCAATAACTTCTGGTATTAAAAAATAACTTGTACAATACAACATAATAATTTAGTTTTAACATTTGGTAGCTACATACCATACCAGCAATGTATTTAAAATTGTGTGCTCAATTTTTGAAGTATTTACAATTTTAAACATCCTGGAACAGAAATTACCAGATGACTAATTCCAAGGATCTCATAAATCCATAATTATTTGCAGTAGTTATTTGTCCATGACACTTGGATGTAGATTGGGTTTTGTTTATAATCTTTTATTAAACAGGATCTTTTAGCATGCTATTCTTGTTTTAATAGGCAGGATCTATTAGCCAGTTCTCTTTGTTTTATTAAGCAGGATCTTTTAGCATACTATCCTTGTTTTGAAGTAGATAAGTTAGTTGGCATACAGTTTAGCATATTTACAAATAACTTTATTTATTTTTTTTATAGTTCATAAGTATTCATTGATACTGACTAAACTTTTTGTAACTTTTTATGGTTTGTTATTCTTTATTGACATTAAATGAAAGTACTGTCACTACATCTTATTTTAAATTGTATAACAAATAGCCAAGAAGAAAACATTTAATATTATTTGTTCAACTAACTTTTAGATTATATTGTACACTTTCATTCAAAACCCCAAAAAACTGATAATCTATTTTTTCGGCAAAATATGGAATATTAGGCTGTATACTTTAAGTAGGCATTTATATGTATAGTAACTTTTCCCATCTTGTGCGTCTCATATGTCAGTAATACTTAAGTATCCATTTTTTAATTTAACAACTTTGCATAACACAATAAAATTTTTATACTATACTTAGAATGAAGATGTTATCTTTATATTATTCCTACTGACAAATTCCTGCAACAAAAGAGGGTTTTACTCCTATCTCATAAAAAAAAGAATTAGATAGATTACACTGTTATAATTGTTTTGAATTAGCAACTAATTACCAATTAAAAAGTAAAAACCAAACCTAATAAAATTAAATTTAAATGGTTTCTAACAAGTTTCGACTTTTTCCTTTATTAATCATTATTTTTATTATATAAGTTATTATATTTTTTAAGCTCCCTGATGTACCATGAATATCCCCTTGATATATTATGAAAGTCTTATGAAAAATTGTTCACCATTAATTATGTAAAACAACAAAGGTCTTTGACATTGAGGTATAACACTCCTTAATTGTGTAAATTATGTTTAAGTGATATAGGTAAATAGTATCACTATTTACCAAAATCACTGAGTTTTAGTTAGTTATATCCCCTTTATTTGTGCCCCTACCCAGGTTAAAATCCAGATCAGCATGGGGAAAATCAACCATATCTTTCATTTTTTTTAAGAAACAACTTATAATCAGTTGCAACCATTGAATATGCTATTATGCAGGTTGGGTATGGGGAAGGGGGGGGGGCTGGTTTCCAATAATACATTCAACCCTTGATAATTGAAAAATAGGGTTTTTTAAAATGCTGCCATTTTTGTTGTGAATGCAACAAGTAAAAAATATTTGCAATTGCTGTTAAGCGTAGACCAATACAAAGTGCTAGAAAAAATTACAAGCATTTCAAAATGGCTAAAAATAGGACTTTTTTGGCAAATGGACAATACATTTTTAGACATATTTTAGTTCTAAACTGCAACAAGCGGCTTATTTTTTGCCTATTTGTTGCAGATAATAGTAGCTTATCAGAAAACTAAACTGTAAGGACTTGTTGATGGATAGAAAGTCAACTTCATTTTGGCCTTTTTTAGGATTTTTCAATTTTAGTTGAGGAGGCTATAAATTTTTTCTAATATGATACAAGTTAACAAAAACCAGTATTTTTAACACAGAACTACCAAGAAAACACTTCTAGAAAAAAATTAGCCACTTGTTGAAAGATAGAAAAAAGTTATGAGGCTTTAAAGTAGTCTGTTTGTACAATTCTTAAATCGAGAGAGGCCACTGTGCAGTGTTTATAAAGCTATATTTTCTGAACCGTTGCATTTGGAAGTCTGAAATTTTAAATTTAACCTATCTACATAATGTATGTAAATAACAAATGTTATGTAAAAATCAGCAAAATCTGAGATGGTGCCCCACAAAGTTTTCTCAAAATTGGTTAAAATATAATGATTTGACCCATAAATAGGCTTGTAAGCAATGCTGATATAAAATAATCATCATGTTCTTTGTTGTCTAACAACACATCCCATACGAAATTTTGCTTATTTAACAAAAGAATTAACTTACAATAATTTATTTAGAAATTATTTAAAAAACATAAATTTCCTTTAATAAAATATTAATTGTAAAAATTTATACTATTATGTACGCAAACAAGAATATAAAAAAAAAACAGAATAATTCTCACCTAAAAGTCTTTTTTTAAACAAAATTCTTAGATATATTTGTATAAAAAGTGAAAAATATGACTTTCAAGATGGATGCAAAAATCTGTGCTGTAAATTAATGCTCTTATTTATATCAGAGTTAATTTAATTTTACCACTGATGGGCAGAGGCAATTTTACGAGGGGTTGTCACCCTCTCCCCCAAAGATGGTGATTTTCCAGTTATAGTCAGTTTTTTTACGAATTTAGTCAGCAAGTCGGGTATTTGACACAGCTTCGTGGGGTAAGTTTAATTTTGAGGACCTTTTTTTTTTTTTTTTACGAAGCCAGTCGGTACTTTTTAAGGACTTTGCCCCCCCTCATTTTATTTGAGGAATCGCCTCTGCTGATGGGCCAGTACCGGCCCAATGTCGGTTGATTTGCTTCGGCAAAACTTCGTTGGACCATTAATGGTTTTTTGCAGCTACCCAGTTCAGGCAATTTTACAAAAGCTTGGCAATGGCTCTGTTATGGCTTCCTAAAACTGGCAATCCAAGAGCGGAACTTTATCGGTTCTTTAATGAATTTGCTGGCGTAGGCTAGCCCATAGTCAGACCAGTATATCCTTGCTGTCTGGGATGAGATTGTGATTCATTTCGAAAATTAAATACTGACTGAGTGTGTAATTGATTAAAAGTGCATAAATGAAATAAAATTCAAATCAATATTTTGTTTATTATGACTAAGTTCTGATGTAAAATGTTGGTGTTCTGTTTCTGTAGGATATACTGTCTAATCCTAAAATCAACTTTATTTTTGGGTTTCAGAGGAAACACTTTTTACTGCCATGTGCTAAAAAAAATATATTAAAAAAATTATTATTACATAACAGGTATGTGCGAATATCTGTAATTTACCATAAAAAAAGTTTACCATATTTCAAAAACTGTGACCTATTTTTTTAATTTGACGAAGAAACTATTTACGCCAAACCACATGGTGCCACTATATATGAACCAAATTAAATAAAAATTGGTAGTCGTTTAGTAAAAAGGTTAGGCTATATATTCATATATTTTATTTTTACTGTCATAAATAAAAAATTTTTTACAATTTTTACTTTTTTTTACAATGTATATCCTCACTGTTTTTAAACGAATAACAGCTCTGTAAGTTATGGCGAGTCCTTTTTGAAATTAAAGGGTCCTTTAGATAATTTAATTATCAGATGATATTCAAAATTTGAAGTAAATCTGTTGCGAACATATTGTTTTCAGGAGTCATTAAGCACACCAGGTATTTTGGTGAAATTAGGGATTTATCGCATTTTAATCTGTGTTTTATTGTTAAAAGCTTGGCTAATCACGGGATAATTTCATTGGTTTAAGGGGGTTGCCCAAGAAATAAACTTTTTTTTGACCCTGTGAATTTAATTAACCAAATTATGGTATAAATGGGTGGTCTGAACTTAAAAAATATTTCAAACACACCAAACCATTTTTTTGTCTCGATTACCCTATTTTATCGCTAAAATGAGACAAAAAAATGAAATATTTCAAAACACAATATCTGCAGATGTGAAGATAGTTACTACTTCAAATTTTCATCATAGCTTAAGAACGATAGTAAAATACATTTGACATATCAATTTTTTTATTGACTCACTTAGTCAAAAGTTATGCCTCTATAAACTTACAAAGATCGGTTTTAAAAGGTAACGAATGGACATTGGTAAACTTATGGTGTTTTTGAATGTTTTTGTCTTATTAGTCTTATCTAACTGCCATTTGCACCAAGAAGTGTCATCATGTGGACACATTTCATGCCGCTGGTTCTCATCGGTAAACGCAGTACAGTGAAACATGTAAACAATGTTTATGCCATGAAAAAACATTTTTTCATGGCATAAACATTGTTTAAGTTGTTTCTTATAGCTTTTCCATAATAGGTTTGCATTGAGTTAATTGTTTTTTCAGTCAACTTCCCCTTTCCTGATATGGGATTCTTTGTACCTTTATGTGATTTCACAAGATTTCTAAGACGAGTACCTAAGCGCTTCTGAACATGCCCAATACATTCCAATTTGAGAGGTGTTATACCAAAATCTTTATAGGGATTTGCTGCTATGACTTCTTTATAAGACGAAGAATCTTCATCACCTAAATATTCTTTGTAAATAAGGCTGTTCTTTTCCACAGAACGTTCAAAGATTTTAACAGCACCAGCTCCCTCTATAGCACCAGACGACTTAACATGATTAATATTACATACATGTTTTGCTTTCCATCTATCATAAATTGATGAACCTTTTTGTTTCTCCCACATAAGGCAACCCTTACAGTGTTTAGAAAAAGCTTGTACATCAACTACTTTATCTTCAACAATACCAGTAACAAATCCATTAAGAGATGAATGGCCTCTTTTCTGCCACGCTCCATCTATTTTTATACGTTGTTGTGTTGGACCATCAGAAGAATCTTGAAGATCCTCTGCAGCTTTTTTCATGCTTTTTAAAGCTGCATCATTGTATGCTTTATATATTTCATTTGAGTTTAGGTTATCAAAAGCGTTTTTGGCTAAACCATACATGTTCATACATTGAGTAAATGTGTTTATACTTGAATGACCTCAACCAATCTCTCGAAAAGCTATCACCACTCTTGCATTTGCTTCAAATATACTTCTTCCAGTGGTATTACTGCTATTCTTTACACATTCTTTAGATGAATAAACAGTATGACTCCATTGTTCACAAGATGTACATTTTAACTTGAGATTTATGTGAAAATCCCATTCTTTTTTGTGTTATCAAATAAATTAATGGTTAGCATATGACATTTTGGACAAGCTATCTCTAAAAATAGATTTTTGAGAACAGAGAAGTTAATAAGGATATTATAGTCATACAGGTCTTGACACTCCAAATGATTCTGAATACCCATATTTAGTTTTTTTGCACTAGAACACATGCTAATTGTATTTAAACTGTTTGTTTTGACCAATAGATCATTTTTTTGCTGTTTTCTAAAATGATTGAGAGGAGCCTTTCTTTTAAGTTTTCTTGAATTATTTTGCTTATTTCCTTTTGCCATTATTATATATTTAAGTCTAAAAGAGTAAGAACCAATAAAAATACAAATAAGTCATTAAACACACAATAAACATTCATAAAAATCTAATAAATAGTACATTTTATGTTGCATCACATTGGTCAAAACGAAAAATATTCATTCAAATAATGACTTTTAGTTTATTAAAATCCATAAAACCTAAGATACACCAAACGACATTACTTTGATACGGAGTTGATGATTATTTGAAAAGGTAAACCCAAGATATTTGACACTTCAATTGAAGTCACAAATAAAGAAAAATGTCAAAAACAAAAATGTGAAGAAAAACTTTATATACCACTATATAAAAATTAGAAATAAAAGACTTTATATAAATTATACAAATGAGATTCATATACCATTTTAAAGAGGATAAAATTCTGCTCATAAAAAACATTCAAGATTTATTTCTTGGGCAATCACCTTAAAAAGCTTATTTTCTATGACAATCTCATTAGAAATATATCTTTGTTAAATTTTGAGAAATACGAGTACTTTGGTTTAGTTTTGGATTTAATTTATAGGTAATCATTTTGATCTATAGCTTACTGTTTGTCAATAAACTACAAGTTAAAATGTCAGCTATATGCTATATATATATATTTTTTTTGTTTAAAATTAATTATGGGCAGTTTTAGAATAACAAACTTTACATTTATAACATTTAGCAAAAAGATTATATATTTTTTAAAATTCTTTTAAAAAACTTAAGAATTTTATAAAATAAAGAACACCTTTTATCGATGAAACTTTGATGTAACTATCTTCAACATGTTAATGTAAGCCTTATTGTTATACTTTATGTGGAAAGATTTTTTGCAATTGAACTTCAAGTTTTGAAGAAAATGTAAAAGTGTTATTTTGAATTATCTCCAGTCCACTTACAACGAACTGCCTATTTCTGAAAATTTGACTTCTTATCAGCTACGTTATTTATTTGTATATTCAAAATGGATTTTCAGCAACTAAAACAGCAAAAAAACATTTTTGAAAGATTTGGTCTTCCTACAAGTAAAAATCAAATTAGGCATTTATAGGTTGCAGTATCAATAAATATATAAAAACAATATCAAGAGATATGAAAACATTTCAAAAAATTTCTCAGAATTATTTTTCAAATCAATTTCTTCAACTATTTTACCTGACATTGCAATCCACTTCTTTGCACCTGACATTGCATCCAATTCTATGCATTACTTAACCCCCATTGAACCATAGGCTCAGCTAAATCATGTGCTGATTCCTTTTCAAATTCTGGTATTTCAACTTTTGATTCACAACTACTATTCCCCAAGTTGAAAAATGAATAACTGACTTCAAGAAAAAAAGTCCTTAAACAGAGGTTATCTATATTGGCAAATGAAGTTGCCACAAAAATGCTAAAACATAAAGAGGATTTAAAAGTTTTGAGAGAAAAAACTCAATAAAAACCATATAGGTTTAAACAACTTAATCATACTATTGTTCAAAAAGAAATATTAATTCGTCAACTGCGCGAGAAGTTAAATAAAAATTGTTCTAACTTAAAATTAAAGCAACTTCAAAATGCTAACCTTTATTTGAAAAAGTAACTAGTGTCAGCCCAGAATAGTTGTCTTCTCTAACAGCAATATTACAAAATCAATTTGTAGACAAAAATGCAGAGATTCAAGTCGTGCAGAATGCTATGCTATTAAAATCTAATATCTTGATTAATCTAATTAAAAATAAAATATTAACTATACAAAAAAAAAAAACTTAAAAGTAGTTTTGCAACACGCCAAGCAAATACGTCCCCTTCTAATATATACACCATTGACGCCCCTAATACAACTTCCTTTTGTTGCTCTCTTTAAGAATCAAGACTATAGTTTTCTCTAAGGCTATTGTTCTCTATTATAAGACTTATTTTAATGCTGGTTTAAAAGCATTTAAATTTTGTAAGCATTCAATCGAAAATATTAGTTTTTGTCTAAATACTTACAAAACGAGGGAGGAGGGGGGCAGGTAAATCTTCCCCAGTTGCCTTTTATGAAATTTTGATATGTCTTCACTGTATCTCTAAAAACTTTTATTAGGTACCAATTTGTGTGTATTTAGATAAAAAATAACAATAGGGCAGTTTAGCCTGTAAAAAATTCTAAAATCGGTCACAGTTTTCTTAAGTAATCCTTGTACTTAAGTTTTTTCGCTTATATGCTCATAAATATTTTTATACAATCATCCAACTTTGATAAAATTTTCTTCATTGTAATACTAATTAGAAGCTCTTTCTAAAGATATATAACATTTTAGTATTTAAACATTTTGAAATTTTTACACACTTATATATAACTATATTACATAGTTGTATAAATTGACTATGATACATAGTTTATATAAATTATAAATATATCTATATACATATATAAATTATAAATATATAAATTATAAATATAAACTTATATAAATTAACTATGTTACATAGTAATATAAATGAGCTTTTATATATATGTAATATTATGATATATATGTAAGCTCATTTATATATTTATATATGATGTGTGTATATATGCACAAGTATATATATATAAATATATATATATATATATATATATATATATATATATATATATATATATATATATATATATATATATATATATATATACACACATGTATTTTATTATTATTATAAATATATTTCAGACAACAGGCAGATACAAATTAGGTGCCAGGTCCATAGTTTTTTATAAGAAAAATATTATTTTAAACTTTGATTAAGTGAAAGCATGAAATTATTCACTAAGTAACAAGCCATCAATTGTTTACAAAAAGCATGTCTGTAGTTCGAGATAATTGTATGAAAAGATGGTAATCTGTGCTCTAAAAGCACGAGAGATATACTATCTTGTTGTATATATATATATATATATATATATATATATATATAATATATATATATATATATATATATATATATATATATATATATATATATATATATATATATATATATATATATATATATACATATATATATATAAATATATATACATATATATATATATATATACATATATATATACATGTGTATATATATATATATATATATATATACATATATATATGATATTTATATATATATATATATATATATGATATGTAAATATATATATATATATTTACATTTATATATATATATATATATATATATATATATATATATATATATATATATATATATATATATATATATATATATATATATATATATATATATATATATATATATATTATACTGCTGAGTAAGGTGAGCATGATGATGTCATACTCACCTAACGTCAAATAGCCTGCTGCCGAGGGCTTCAGTACATACATCGACTGACAAATAGAAGATTTCGTAATTAAGCGGCTATTATGAATCACGTGATGCAATGTTTTTCTCGGGAGGGCAAAAATGTAAACAAACCAATAATAAACATATAAGAAAAAGATAAGAAATAATACATCAGGTAAATAACAAATAAGAAAAAATACATCTGGTGTGTAATTTTAAAAATGATATACGTTTACAAAAATAAACACAAATAAAATAAAAGTCGAAAAAAATTTAGTAAAGAATATTTTATTTATACTTTTACCTCAATAAAATAGAAAAAGATACAAACCAAAAAATTATTCTTATTAAAGCAGTGAGTTTTTGCAAAGAATTTATTTGCTTTCTTATTGTTTAAAAATAATTCTGTATAATATAACTTTGGTTATTCTCTTAACTTTTAATTAAGTTTTAATCTTTTTGTTTGAATATTTATTATCATGTTGTGTTCATTACTAAGTTTTTACTGTTTACTATCTCAGTTAAAAAAACATTATGGTTAATGATCGCTGTGTAGTTGGTATTTGCAATAACGATAAACGTTATCCAGAGCGTTACGAAATACATAGTAACGTTAAATCTGGAAAATTATGTTTCCACAAGTTGCCTGTTGATGGAAAAACAAGAAAATCATGGATTCATGCAGTTTCTAAAGGGCGAAAACACTTTGTTGTATCTAAACATTTTAAAATCTGCTCTAATCATTTTGTCGATGGCATGCCTACTTATGAAAATCCTAACCCAACCCAGCCAGCCAACACATAAGGGTACCATATGGGACCCATACGGGCTTTGATACGGGACCCATATGGGCAACCCGTTGCTAGCCCAGCGGGAGATGCAAATGGGCTCCACACGGGTCCCACACGGGCTTCCCGCTGGGAAACCCATATGGTTCCCGTATGCAGCCCATTTAATTAGCCCATATGGTGCCTGTACGGTTACAACAAGGGAAATCTGTATACAGCCCAAAAGAAGCCTGCAAGTATCTCAAGTCTCATAAGCGCGATTTAAGCGTTATTTAACTTCTTCTATAAAGTCAATTTCGTCATAAAGAACTAGAAACGCAGAAATAAAACCCAGATATAATGTAAGCTATTTTTATTTAATAAAAAGTAATCTTAAACAAATTTGTCCATATTTTCTGACGAAGTAGGATAATCTGCATCTAGTTCAGTCGAGTTAACATTGACAGCGACTTTACCAGATCTACGACTGTTACTTCCACGATCACGTGAGTTAGCAAACCAGGTTGAAAGTTCAGTTTCGATTTCCTTTTGCGTGCAATTTTTTGTGCTAGGATTTAATTTAACAGCACCTATTTATTTAACAAAAGCATATTAAAACACACACACATATATAAATTTATATATATATATATATATATATATATATATATATATATATATATATATATATATATATATAATTTATATAAATAAATTTATTTATATATATATATATATATATATATAAATATTTATATATATATAAATATTTATATATATATATATAAATATTTATATATATATATATATATAAATATTTATATATATGTATATAAATTTATATATATACAGTCCGCGAAAATCACAAAAGGTCTTTTATGAATTTACACGCTTGTAAATATCACGCTTGTGAATAACACCGTGCCGACCTTAGCTGACCTCAGGTCGGCAAAAAAAAAAAAAAAAAAAAAAAAAATTTCGCTTTCTGTTACGATAGGAGTAATGATTAATTGATTATAAAAGGATTGCTGTATAATACCATAACTTCAGACTATAATATTTTTAAAAATGTAGCCATTAAATTTTGTGTAGTAAATTAAGTTATAGCAAAACTAAAACTCGTTCCACTGTATTTGTAATTTATAAACGGTTTTTTCGATTTTTGATTTTGTACTTTATGGCTGATAATTGAGTATATGTTTGATAATTGTCTATATTGGGTAGACTTATAAGCAAAAATTACAATACAAAAATTAATATATAAATCAATTTTATACTCACTACAAAGAACTAAATGAAGTGCATTTGTTTTAAACGATTGTTTTCCTTTTTGCCCAGTTAAATTGAAGCTACGAGCAACAAGGCTATCTAGCAGCATGGGCATTGACCTCATAATAAAATTTCTCAAATTTTCTCCACCAATATCAGCAATATGTTTGGCCTAAAAAAAAGTTTGATGCAAGTTATGGTGAACAGATATATAAAAAAAAAATTGAAAAAAAAAATTGAAAAGTTGTTCACAACTGCATTGTTTACAACAATTACTTAATATAAATAAAATTAAGTAATTAAAGTAATTATTTTTACAACTATTTTCTTTATTCCGGGATTTTCCAGCTTCTGTGTTAAAATATCTATTTCTTCCATTGACTGGAGCTGGTAATGGAATACCTTCTGGAAGATCTGGAGAGATATGATCATTTAAATCAAGTTTGCGGCGGATAGATTGAATTTGTGCTGTATGCATTGCTTGAGTCTTTTTTTATATCTTCCTGATTACTAATTACAGTTGCTAATAAATTAGCAATCATCTGTAGATTTACAGACTCACCTAAATAAAAGAACTTTGCTGCATTAAACATAAAGACATTTAAAAACAAAATTTCAGATTTATAACACTGGTAAATAAATTGTAAGAACTACGTTATTTTTTCCAGTAAGAGTGCTCAACATATCGTGTTATAAATATGTGTAGCAATTATTATTATAGTAAAAACTAAATAATTATTTAGGTTTATTTGATAACATGACTTCAAGTTTCACGCAACAGATATATTTATATATATATATATATATATATATATATATATATATATATATATATATATATATATATATATATATATATATATATATATATATATATATATATAAACTTATTCATAATTATACATAATTTATATAACTAACACAACTTTGAATAAATATATATATATATATATATATATATTACATAGTAAAATTATTTTACTAAACGTTCTTATTTTACTAACTATTTTACTAAACATATTTTACTAAAATATTTATTTCAGTTAACATTATATTTTTATTATTATATTTCATTAGTCATTTATTTGAGTTAACATTATATTATATAATTGGCACAATACCTGTTAATAACTTATGATTAATTGTTTGAACAGGTGATGATTTGTTTTGAAAAGAGGCAGAATCTATCAATATACTTTTCGATTGAGAATATTTTGATGTTGAACTGTTACATCTACAAGAAATAATTTTGAGCTCAATACTAAATTAAACCAATGATATAACTTTAAACAAGTTAACAATTTATCAAAACACATATTATTAAGTATCAAATATATTATAACACTGGCGTATGTAATGGTAATACACCGAAACTAATAGATTTTATGTCCGGATACTTTTATTTTTAAAAATTAATTTCTGTCTATTAGCAAATATACAAGTGTTATAACAGTTTTTTTCTTTAATGAATATCCAGCATATCTAGCAAAAATAAATGGTTCATTAAATTTAGCCATTAATTAGATAATTGTATCAATACTTGTCTATTTCAAAGTCTAGTCTTGCAGCTGGTAAAACATTAGACTCGCAATTGCTCAACTCAATATCACTTCCATAACTGTAAAAGAAGTAGAGTATTAGCAGATTAATAAGCAGGTTTAATATATAAATAATTTCATAATGGTTAATTATAAATAAAGATGTTATTGTGTTATAAAGTGACAACAAATAGACTGTTACTTACAGATTCAGCAAATTTTCTTTTTTTGAATGAGTCTCTTTGTGAATAAATGGTGGAGTAGGTTTGTCTACTTGAGTAACACAAAAATTATCGGGTGTTCTTTTTTTGTGCCAAGTTTTCTTTTTACTTTATAAAAAAAAAAAGATTTGGATATATATCATTCTCATTATTAGGCTTTATACATAAAGCATATTAATAGATACAGTATCAATATAGTATACAGAGTATATAGTACAATATAGTATACAGAGTATTGGATATAGTAACAATAGATAAAAAATTAGTAAACAACTCTTTATAATAACCTTGGTATAATCTGATCATAATCTTCTCCTTCATTCTCAGAAGAACTAATCATTTTACACCTAAACAGTTTTATAAATACATAATAAAAATATTTCATATTTTTATTAATATTTATTAATAATTTCTGAAATTAAAGTTACCTTCTAACACGTTTCAATGCATTTTCTTCTGCTGTATCTAGGTTGGAGGTGTCCTCGGCTCTTTTCGCTTTTGACCGTGCTTCAGTAAGACTGTCTATAAATAAATTGAAAAACAATACATTAAATAACGTATTGTATTAAACTTGCAACACAGAGGCATTTTTTTAGCAATAAATTATAAATAAAATATAATTATAAAAGCATAACATTAATTTTACCTGCAATTCCTAGTATTCTAGCAGTAAATAAAGGCCAATGCACATCCGGATCCATTAGATTATTTTTAGCCTTTGCAATACTAGTTGGATTTAAATTTTTACCATTTGGCCAAAAGACTTTAACAGATACTTTATTTTTAACACTGGATGCAAGTGAATTGATGTCAACTCCACTTATCCAAGTTAGTGGCACATAATCTGTTGTATTAGTTTCATCGAATAAAACTATTGCATACATAATTATACTGTATCACAAAAACAAAATTAAAAAAATATACACCAGACTAGCCTCTTATGTTTGATCTGATATCATACAAGCCTTGCCGGGAAGTAAGAGGTATTGCTCTCACATCAACCTTTGAGCTTTGATTTATCAAATGATATTATAATATAATATACCATAAAAGTCATAATAATCATAAAATGCATTGTGTAATTATAATATATATCAAAGCTCAAAGAATGACGCAAGAGCTATAGCTCGCGCTTCCTACTAAGGCCTGTACATGTGAGTATATTATGTTTCTATTAAACTATTTATAGTAAATAATAATCGCAAAGTATCGATTAACATAATAATCGTAAAACTGAATAATTGCAAAACTAATAATGAAATAACAAAGTAATAACTTTATAAATAAGTCGAATACTATTTTTACTTATCAAAATATAACAATTTAGTAAAGTAATTGTATTGCACAAGTTATTTGATATACTAAAAAAAATGTATTTGTGGAATAACTACAAAGCCGTTTTTAAATGGTAGTTTAAAATATTTAATATTTAGTTCTTTTAAAAAAAATGTTGTTGTATTAAATGACACATTTTCCACATAATATATGGAAAAACTTGTTGAATCAAGAGGATCCATAAAAAAAGATTGCTTACGCTGAAACTCTTGGCAGACAACACGAGCATTAACCTCTGTGCAAATTACATCAGTTAATATGTTTTTGACTAAAATGATTTTATTATTAACACCAAAGCAGTTATCAGCAGTAGCAAGAGAAACCAGAAATTGTGGTCCAAAATATTGCTTGTATTGAATGTAATGACGTAATGGCAATGGTAGTGGACCTAGCAAGTGTTTTTGTCGAAATTTAGACGGTATACTGCTGCCCAATTTTGATTGTTGTAAATGACCTTCCAAAATTCGTCGCACAATTTGTGAGCAAGGTGATTTAGGTCGACGAACCAACTTTTTTAGTCTTCCCAAATAGCTTTCGAAAGGAAAACAAGAAACATTATCTAACACGCCGAATTGCCTAGCATCATCTGGTAAGTGTATCAACGAATGAATATTGTAAACACACTGATCTTTTCCAAATAACAAGCAAAAATTATATACAAAATACTTTAATAATTTTTCTACATAATTGAAGTAGTTGTAGTTACACAATGATAGTGTCATAAGTATGCGAATAGCTACAGAGAGACACAAAAAATTGGAATATACAGAATCAGAAAGAATACCTTTTAAAACAACAGGGCCAGTATATAACAAAAATTGTCTCAGTTCTGTAGCTTTCCATTGCTTAAACTCTAAAAGAGATCGAGGCTTTCGAGAAAACTCTCTAGGAATATAAGCTCGTAGAATAGCAAGTTTTTCAGATATAGCATCAATTGTTGATCTTGATAACTTATGCTCAGATCTACCATTGACTAACTGGTTTATATACCTGCAAACTGTTCCTAAAAATACTGAATGCATGCTATCAATTGGAAAACCACTAACTAATCCAATATTTAATTCCTCAATAGGTGACATACGTGAACCATCATGATGATTTTTATCTGCTTTGTTTTTAAAAGTGATGTCCGATCTCAGAGGTGCGGCTAAATTGGGCATAATGACTTTGCCATACCACTTACCTTTTTGAAAGCAGCGTTCACAAGAATGATATGCATTATGTGGTTTAATGCACTTTACAAATGCTCTGGCTGGTGCATCACAAATAAAAGCCTCTAACTTTATTAAATAGTGCTTCCCAGTTGCCACACAAACAAAACCTATTCGTTCTAATATTTTTATTTCAGCAACAAAATCTTTTAAATAATCCTGCAATGAGTTAGGCTTTGTTTTACCAAAATAAAGTGCAAGTGGAAAAGGATACCAATCAGCATCTCGAACAGAGCAAAGAATAGGCCACAAACTGGCAGTTGAGCTATTAAATAATGGCACTCCATCTATATTTATATGCAGATACAATTTACTAATTTCAGACCTGATAGGATACCTTTCCATTAAAATAGAAAGCCAATGTTTTAATCCAAAATAGAAATATTCTCCGCCTGCAATACTTTTTATAGTGATGCTTCTTTCAGTTTGCAACAAACTTCTTGCATCCTTTGGCAAATCAGGATGTGATTGTCTTAACAATGAAAGCAAATCTGAACATGCATTATGTGAAATGTTAAATTTTAAAACCCATGTTTGTAACTGACTCTGAAGGCAATCAGTATTGACATCGTACTCTACAGCTTCGTCTTCATTGTGACTTACTAAGCTAGTTGTTTCATCTTGGTTTTCAAATTTACTGCCTGTATCATATAAGCATATTTCAGTTTGTGCTGGAATATCATCAGCGCTAATAAGCTCGTTATCACAAGGCATAACTTTATCATTATTTTGATAATTGTGTTCATTTTTATAAATATCATTATTACTATGACTGTTACAAATTTCTGAAAAATCATCAACATTGTCATCATTTTCATTAATACACATAGAATTGTTTTGAGAACTAGCATCAGAAAATATTCTATTAACAACAGCATTTATTTTCCTCCTTTTTGTAGAATATGAGTATAAATTATTAGCCATTCTGAAAATAAAGAAAAGCAGAACTGTAATAAACTAAAATAATTTAAATTAACAAACAGAATTTAAATTAACAGTAAATTAGTAATAGAATACAATGCTGTAATAAATATATAAACTATATATAAGACTAAAAATTACCATAAGCCTTCTATATATATAGTATATATATATAAAAGGCTACAAATATCTCAAACCTTTGATAAATGGAACTTCCAGTAACTAATTTTGAATACTAAAATCTTATTTCTATTATAATCATGATAAATTTAACATTCGCTAACTCAAACTAATTTCTTGGTCCCTTGGAGGTTCAAGTTATCAGAAGTTTGCTGTATATAGGTATAAATATGTAGAACTTTGTCAATCATATAAGTTACCAAGAGCAATGAGCAATAAATGGTTCATTAAATTTAGCCATTAATTAGATAATTGTATCAATACTTGTCTATTTCAAAGTCTAGTCTTGCAGCTGGTAAAACATTAGACTCGCAATTGCTCAACTCAATATCACTTCCATAACTGTAAAAGAAGTAGAGTATTAGCAGATTAATAAGCAGGTTTAATATATAAATAATTTCATAATGGTTAATTATAAATAAAGATGTTATTGTGTTATAAAGTGACAACAAATAGACTGTTACTTACAGATTCAGCAAATTTTCTTTTTTTGAATGAGTCTCTTTGTGAATAAATGGTGGAGTAGGTTTGTCTACTTGAGTAACACAAAAATTATCGGGTGTTCTTTTTTTGTGCCAAGTTTTCTTTTTACTTTATAAAAAAAAAAAGATTTGGATATATATCATTCTCATTATTAGGCTTTATACATAAAGCATATTAATAGATACAGTATCAATATAGTATACAGAGTATATAGTACAATATAGTATACAGAGTATTGGATATAGTAACAATAGATAAAAAATTAGTAAACAACTCTTTATAATAACCTTGGTATAATCTGATCATAATCTTCTCCTTCATTCTCAGAAGAACTAATCATTTTACACCTAAACAGTTTTATAAATACATAATAAAAATATTTCATATTTTTATTAATATTTATTAATAATTTCTGAAATTAAAGTTACCTTCTAACACGTTTCAATGCATTTTCTTCTGCTGTATCTAGGTTGGAGGTGTCCTCGGCTCTTTTCGCTTTTGACCGTGCTTCAGTAAGACTGTCTATAAATAAATTGAAAAACAATACATTAAATAACGTATTGTATTAAACTTGCAACACAGAGGCATTTTTTTAGCAATAAATTATAAATAAAATATAATTATAAAAGCATAACATTAATTTTACCTGCAATTCCTAGTATTCTAGCAGTAAATAAAGGCCAATGCACATCCGGATCCATTAGATTATTTTTAGCCTTTGCAATACTAGTTGGATTTAAATTTTTACCATTTGGCCAAAAGACTTTAACAGATACTTTATTTTTAACACTGGATGCAAGTGAATTGATGTCAACTCCACTTATCCAAGTTAGTGGCACATAATCTGTTGTATTAGTTTCATCGAATAAAACTATTGCATACATAATTATACTGTATCACAAAAACAAAATTAAAAAAATATACACCAGACTAGCCTCTTATGTTTGATCTGATATCATACAAGCCTTGCCGGGAAGTAAGAGGTATTGCTCTCACATCAACCTTTGAGCTTTGATTTATCAAATGATATTATAATATAATATACCATAAAAGTCATAATAATCATAAAATGCATTGTGTAATTATAATATATATCAAAGCTCAAAGAATGACGCAAGAGCTATAGCTCGCGCTTCCTACTAAGGCCTGTACATGTGAGTATATTATGTTTCTATTAAACTATTTATAGTAAATAATAATCGCAAAGTATCGATTAACATAATAATCGTAAAACTGAATAATTGCAAAACTAATAATGAAATAACAAAGTAATAACTTTATAAATAAGTCGAATACTATTTTTACTTATCAAAATATAACAATTTAGTAAAGTAATTGTATTGCACAAGTTATTTGATATACTAAAAAAAATGTATTTGTGGAATAACTACAAAGCCGTTTTTAAATGGTAGTTTAAAATATTTAATATTTAGTTCTTTTAAAAAAAATGTTGTTGTATTAAATGACACATTTTCCACATAATATATGGAAAAACTTGTTGAATCAAGAGGATCCATAAAAAAAGATTGCTTACGCTGAAACTCTTGGCAGACAACACGAGCATTAACCTCTGTGCAAATTACATCAGTTAATATGTTTTTGACTAAAATGATTTTATTATTAACACCAAAGCAGTTATCAGCAGTAGCAAGAGAAACCAGAAATTGTGGTCCAAAATATTGCTTGTATTGAATGTAATGACGTAATGGCAATGGTAGTGGACCTAGCAAGTGTTTTTGTCGAAATTTAGACGGTATACTGCTGCCCAATTTTGATTGTTGTAAATGACCTTCCAAAATTCGTCGCACAATTTGTGAGCAAGGTGATTTAGGTCGACGAACCAACTTTTTTAGTCTTCCCAAATAGCTTTCGAAAGGAAAACAAGAAACATTATCTAACACGCCGAATTGCCTAGCATCATCTGGTAAGTGTATCAACGAATGAATATTGTAAACACACTGATCTTTTCCAAATAACAAGCAAAAATTATATACAAAATACTTTAATAATTTTTCTACATAATTGAAGTAGTTGTAGTTACACAATGATAGTGTCATAAGTATGCGAATAGCTACAGAGAGACACAAAAAATTGGAATATACAGAATCAGAAAGAATACCTTTTAAAACAACAGGGCCAGTATATAACAAAAATTGTCTCAGTTCTGTAGCTTTCCATTGCTTAAACTCTAAAAGAGATCGAGGCTTTCGAGAAAACTCTCTAGGAATATAAGCTCGTAGAATAGCAAGTTTTTCAGATATAGCATCAATTGTTGATCTTGATAACTTATGCTCAGATCTACCATTGACTAACTGGTTTATATACCTGCAAACTGTTCCTAAAAATACTGAATGCATGCTATCAATTGGAAAACCACTAACTAATCCAATATTAATTCCTCAATAGGTGACATACGTGAACCATCATGATGATTTTTATCTGCTTTGTTTTTAAAAGTGATGTCCGATCTCAGAGGTGCGGCTAAATTGGGCATAATGACTTTGCCATACCACTTACCTTTTTGAAAGCAGCGTTCACAAGAATGATATGCATTATGTGGTTTAATGCACTTTACAAATGCTCTGGCTGGTGCATCACAAATAAAAGCCTCTAACTTTATTAAATAGTGCTTTCCAGTTGCCACACAAACAAAACCTATTCGTTCTAATATTTTTATTTCAGCAACAAAATCTTTTAAATAATCCTGCAATGAGTTAGGCTTTGTTTTACCAAAATAAAGTGCAAGTGGAAAAGGATACCAATCAGCATCTCGAACAGAGCAAAGAATAGGCCACAAACTGGCAGTTGAGCTATTAAATAATGGCACTCCATCTATATTTATATGCAGATACAATTTACTAATTTCAGACCTGATAGGATACCTTTCCATTAAAATAGAAAGCCAATGTTTTAATCCAAAATAGAAATATTCTCCGCCTGCAATACTTTTTATAGTGATGCTTCTTTCAGTTTGCAACAAACTTCTTGCATCCTTTGGCAAATCAGGATGTGATTGTCTTAACAATGAAAGCAAATCTGAACATGCATTATGTGAAATGTTAAATTTTAAAACCCATGTTTGTAACTGACTCTGAAGGCAATCAGTATTGACATCGTACTCTACAGCTTCGTCTTCATTGTGACTTACTAAGCTAGTTGTTTCATCTTGGTTTTCAAATTTACTGCCTGTATCATATAAGCATATTTCAGTTTGTGCTGGAATATCATCAGCGCTAATAAGCTCGTTATCACAAGGCATAACTTTATCATTATTTTGATAATTGTGTTCATTTTTATAAATATCATTATTACTATGACTGTTACAAATTTCTGAAAAATCATCAACATTGTCATCATTTTCATTAATACACATAGAATTGTTTTGAGAACTAGCATCAGAAAATATTCTATTAACAACAGCATTTATTTTCCTCCTTTTTGTAGAATATGAGTATAAATTATTAGCCATTCTGAAAATAAAGAAAAGCAGAACTGTAATAAACTAAAATAATTTAAATTAACAAACAGAATTTAAATTAACAGTAAATTAGTAATAGAATACAATGCTGTAATAAATATATAAACTATATATAAGACTAAAAATTACCATAAGCCTTCTATATATATAGTATATATATATAAAAGGCTACAAATATCTCAAACCTTTGATAAATGGAACTTCCAGTAACTAATTTTGAATACTAAAATCTTATTTCTATTATAATCATGATAAATTTAACATTCGCTAACTCAAACTAATTTCTTGGTCCCTTGGAGGTTCAAGTTATCAGAAGTTTGCTGTATATAGGTATAAATATGTAGAACTTTGTCAATCATATAAGTTACCAAGAGCATTGAGCATTCCCAAGAGCAAGTTTAGCACTTTATATAATGTTCTTTATATAAAAAAGGTTATATAATATGTAATATATAATATAATATATATAATATATATACACATAAATGTATGTGTGTGTGTATTATATTGTCTTTAGAAGCAAATAAAATCTACTTGCTTGATCTGTTTCGAGAATTTTAAGTCTTGAGGCCTATCAGTTATCAGTTTATCTTTTTTAGATATTATTAATAGAAAAAAATAGCACTTGCCATATTTTAACTATTAATTAACTAAAGATTAACAATAGATAACAAATGATACTAAAATTATTATATTTTAATACTGTCGTATTACCATTTTTAGGTGCATAACTAAAATGTCGTTAACTAACTTTTGAAACTAAGTTTTATTAACTAACTTTTTAAATTTAAAAAGTTATATAAAACTAACATTGGTTTCAAACAAGTGTTTTAAACAGTGTAGTTTGAAATCTATATAAATCCTATACAAACATCCAACTATAAATAAGAAAATTATTATGAATAATTTCATGAATTATCTTAAAAAAATTTATTATATTTTTATAATTATTATAAAATTTTATAAAAACTATATAGAATTATATAAAAAATTATATATTTAACTAAAATGAATCATTTTAATTAAAATACTATAAAATAAGTTGCACGTTGCGAACCGATTAGCCATTTTTATTTTGAAAATAACTTTTTCTCAATTCCGCCTCGATATCAAAAAATGTAATACCGTGTTTATTGCTTTCCCATATGGGTCCCAGACCGAGCCCATAAAAAAAGCCCTCGCGTATCCCATACCAGATACCCAGACGACTCCCATACGGTACCCATATGCGCTGGTTGCCTGGGAACACTCTTTTTGACATACACCATGAATGTTCAATGTACTCCGGAAAAAAAACAATCAAGACCTCCTCCAAAAATCAGAACAACATCTATTGTAAAACCTGTTTCTTCAAAAATGATTGAATCTATTAACTCTAACTCGGATACACTTACAGCTGAAGAGTTGTCAGATCTTATGATTGTTTCTTCAGACGAAGAAAGCTTAATATCGTTCAAAATAACTCCATATGTTAGTGGCGATGCAGTTGCAGCAGAATTATTACACATCTCCGACTCTCCCAAAGAATTATTACACCCACCCGCCTCTCCCAAAGAAAAAGACACTGTAAATCCAATTTTGTCTAAGAATAAAACAGGCTACAGTGTTAAAAATAATATAGAGCCTACTCTATTATCAACATATATTGCTTTACAGTTTTCTCATATTACTAGGGACTCAGATGTATCGACTTTTACAGGTTTACAAAATGCAAAAATGTTTCAAAGTGTTTTCAATTATGTCAAGCACAAAGCAGCAGTTATGAAATACTGGGATGGAAATAAAAGAACAAATCGATTACGAAAAACCATGTCCAGTGTTGAATCTGTCGAGCAGCTACACTTATCAGAAGATTATACTATTTGCGATAACTTATTTCCTATGAGAAAAAGCGGACCTAAAAGAAAAATCTCACTGGAACAGGAATTTCTTTTAATTATGATGAGATTACGTTTGGGTCTTTTAATTGAAGATTTAGCTTTCCGCTTTTGTATATCAGCTGGAACAGTTTCCCAAATTATTATTACATGGGTAATATTGTTATCTAAAGAGTTGGACAGCCTAATTTTGTGGCCTAGCCGGAATACAATTCGAGCAACTATGCCAAACTGTTTTAAGCGATTATATCCAAAAGTGAGAACAATTATAGATTGTTCTGAAATATTCTTAATAGCAATAACTCCGAATGGAGCCATTTCATGGCTGTCTCCCCTTTATGGTGGACGTGCCTCTGACATTTTTATTGTCAGTAATAGTGGTTTTCTTGATATACTTGAGCCCTATGACCAAGTTATGGCAGATCGTGGCTTTAAAATAAGGACATACCTTGCATATAAACAGTGTACTCTTTGTATACCTCCAAGTGCTGTTAAAGGAATTCAAATGTCAAAAGAAGAAGTTCGAGAAACATCAAACATTGCTAATGTACGTATTTATGTGGAGCAAGCAATAAAAAGGATTAAACATTTCCGTATTTTAAAAATAACACAGCCATTACTATACCTACCTATCATGAATAATATACTACGCGTATGTGCTGCTATATCAAACTTGAGAAAACCATTAGTTTCTAAATAGTTCATTAAACAAATTTAGTTTACTAAATAGTTTTTTTAATTGTGTAATATAATGTTCCACTGTCCAAACTTTAGGTTATTATTATAACATGAGTTTATATCAACTAGGGTTTGAAAGATGTGTAAAAAATTAGTAGTTTTTTTTTTAAACCAAACCAGCCCCAAAAAAAGACTTTTTTTTGAAAATCTTTTGAAAATGCAGAAAGAATTTAAAAAATGTAAATAAAAAAACACCATATTTATCTACAACTCTTAATAAAATATCCATTGAAGATTTAAGCTAAACATAAACTAGACATTGAGCACATGCAACAAACCCAGTCTAGATCTGCTATTAACTCATAGTCTTCTTTTTTTTAATTTTGACATGAACAGTGAAACCAAGCGCAACATACTTCACATTGAATACTGCTAAATTCATTAAATTCTTTAACATTGATTTCTGGATCTTCGAGTATAAGTTTATCGCATTTTCCACAGAATGTTATAGGTTTTATTAGTAATAATGCTGGAGAAACATATGTTTTGAAAAAAATATCTAAATTTGTTTTCACCGTATCCCAGAGCTCTTGATCAAATTCGATTATTTCAACATATAAGTCCTTAAGCGTCCAAACAATAAAATATGCTGACTTGCAATTTGTAATTGCCATTTGGGAATTAATCTGTGTGTAATATTTATGACACTTATTTAATGTTATTTGATCATTTTTTATTGTAAAGAAATTACATTCACTAGCTCCTTCTTTGATTGTTTTATTAAAAATTTTAAAAGGACATTTAACTTCTAAACACATTCTACCATGACATTTGCATACCATAAATCCATCTGGGGAGCAAGCAATGTAAGGTCTATCATACAAAATAAAGGGACCACTTTTTTCAATTTTTAAATCAGTGTGATTTGATACATGCTCTGCATAAATTTTTTTTATAGCATCTTGCTCATGATCAATTCCCCATTTGATAGAAGCAGTAACAAATGTTTTTTTATGAGGGTATAAAATCTCAGCAACAAGAGGAGTTGTTTTAGGCTTCTTAGAACTTGTATTTCTAGAAAGAGTATTAACTTTGGTATATATTCTGTGATGTTTGGATGCAGTTATCCTCCCCTTTCTCATTTGAAACCAGGTATTGCTTTTAGCTTGATCTCTTGTGTTATATTTCACGTTTTTAATTGTTTCATGTGTTAAAACCATTTTTTCTAATAATATTTTCCCTAATGTTGACTCATCAACGTTAGGATGGTCTAAAAGTATTTCAAATGATAGCTTTTCAAGATCAGGATTACTTACAAAATTTTCATCAGATTTTTTAATTTTTGATTTAAATATTACAGCAGAAGGCTCGGATATATGAATGTTGTTTAAAAATGTTTCAAATGAATGTTCATTAAATTCACGATGACTTTCGAATCTTGGATCGAATTCTTGCAATGCTTTCATCCTTGTGTTTTCCTTATTATTATCATTTTTTTCATTATTTGCAATTTTTTTTCTAACAACTAGGTCAGTTATTAAGCATGGTTTTATATCTTTTCTAGAAGACTTATTCCAGACACAAGCTTGTTCTGTGCATGTTGGATTACACCAACCTTTGTTATTAGCATATTCCATTTTATAAAGGGTGGCAATAACATGATTGCAAACTTCAAAAGCTCCAGCCATACACGAACACCAAGCAGAAAGAATATCATTATTACAAAAGGCAATCCAAAGCTTTCTTTTTTTGTGAATTTTTTGCGAACCACACACTTCAGAATATGCGAATAAAACATCTTTTTTAAACCTGAAGTGCATTATTGGGCCTACAAAACCACTATCGAAAAATGAAAATGCTTTTTGGTCCTTATATTTGCCAATATATTCCGAATCAAAATATTTTTTATTAAGAATATATGAAAAAATATTTCCCATTGTTATACTAGGCCACTCAGATACTAAGTCTTTTCTATTTTCCATTGGAACAGAGTTTGGGTCAATTAGATCTAGAGCTTTTAGCTTGTCCGTATAAGATTGCTTAAGTTTTTTTTCCTGTTCTTCTGCTGTCTCTATAACATCTATATTTAATTCCATTGCAGTAAATGCTCTAGCAACAAGCTCGACTTTGCGTCCAGTAGTACTTAGCCCACGAACAGTTAAAAAACTAACAAGCTTTTTGACAGATAAATTCAAAAAATCTTCGTATTTTTCAAGTGGCATGGTA